TGTATTTAAAAGGTCTATGAAGTTATTTGACCCAGTCCTGATTGCAGAATGGCTTTGCTTTGTTGCAGTTACGGTATCAGAAGTGCTTAGTAGCCAGACCTCCTTCACAGAAGGTTCGGCCGCCCCCACCTCCTGCAGACTCGGTGACCAGAAGAGTTACAACCAACGTCAAAAGAGGAGTCTTGTCTCTCATTGACACTTTGAAACAGAAACGCCCGGTCACTGAGATGCCATAGCTGTGTAAGAGAGAAGATTCTCCTCCCATTTGACTGAAGATAAAAGTAGCTACACTAGGGAAAATGAACGGACGATGTCTGACCTTCCATTTCAGTTGCTGATGCTTTCTCTTCAGAGAATTTACCCCTGTTGAAACAATGTTAAACAAGCATGTTCTCATTCTTGCCACCATCGTGTGATATGAAAAGAAGCATGAATAATTTTTTTGCTGTCAGTGAGTTACATCATGGGCAATGGAAGGTCTGTTTGATTGTAAATACTTGAACATTACCTAAACTCACACAAAAAAGAGAATATGGCCACGTCCCTCCCAGTGAACTCATGCTAAAGTCCTTGGAGTGAATGATGCCTGAGTAAAATTTCAACTTCTTGAGCTGGATTTGTCACAAACCAATCTTAAATCTTACAGCACTTTGCTCTGTTTTCAACACTGGAATAGGTATCAAGTATTAGCTACCATTGAATTACTGTAGATTAAATACCAAGTTTTATTTTTTACAGAACTGCACCTATTAGTTTTAAATTGTTTGTCAGCATTGGTCTAGCAACTACTTCAAAATCTCCCTGACATGTTTTTGAATTATAGTGTCATTATGTCATCTTCTGGTTACACATTATGCTCTTACAGAAGAATTTTGTTTAAAACCAAACCAATGATGAAAAATCCAGTAGTGTTTTTAGTTGCAGAGTGATCCACTGAAGCTTTTCAGCTTTAAACATACAAATTCAACTGCTGGCTGTTAAATTTATTCTCCTAAATCTGTCATTAATTCATCAAAAATACTGTTTGTTTCCTGGAGGGCTCAAACCAATATAAGTAATAAGAAAGAAGTAGTTAGTGATTTTATTCTCTTACAACTGTTATAGAGACTAAACAATTCCAGACCTTTTCTATACAAGTGTTTGATAAAATGTTCAGTTTGGTGTCTGGTTGCATAATTCCCCCTTCCCCTCAGAGTTTGTTGCTGAATACTTAGCATGCCAGAAAAAGAACAATTACATTTCTTTTTATTTGCAAAATTTTGTTAAATTTATTTTACTTTTAATGCTCTTGTAACAAAATAAGAAGAGAGTTGTTTTTTAACATGATAGTGTTTCAGGTAGTACAATTGGATTTCAATGTTTGGTTCCAAAGACTTCATCTAATTGATTTGTTTTAACACCTGCAGACCCTCACAAATCAGCCCAGCATTGCCCTCAAAATTATACCTCAGGCTGATTTTGAAATGCATTCATGCATCTTCAGTCTCTCCCTTTGTCATCTTCTGTCTAAACCTGCAGATTGGTACAGATTTTGGAAATAGAACATTAAGTATGTATAACTCGTGTTAAAAATGTTTTGCCTCCGTTTATAGCTAGGTTCCAAACTGTAACTGTCTCCCAAGACTGCAAATCTTGTCATACTCCAATGATAAAGGAGCACTGGCAAAGTTCTTGTTACAATAGCTCTTTTTTTATTTTACTGTGCAAGAGACTGTTCTTTTTTATTTCCTTGTTTGAAGAAATTAATGACCACACCTGGCAAAGTAACTTATGAACACAACAGGAAAAGAATGATGATTCAAGAAATTTCTGCATTGAAAAATGCAGTAAAATCATTACTAAACTCGGTGTGATGTATGAGCAAGTGTCAGGTGAAGGCTGGCTATGCAACTATTGTAATTAAATTTAGCTTTCTACAATGCCCTCTGAAGAGCTGATCCTCTATGGATCTCGAATCTCTTCATGACCACAATTCTGCACCTCAGGCACTGAAGCAACTTTCTCCCCTCTCAAGGCTCACGCTCTTGCCACCTCCTTTGCACCACCTCTATTGCCTGTACAGCTGGAGAAGCTGCTTATGCTGTGCCCACAGGGAGAGCTGGAGGGGAGGGGTGCAAACAAACCCACCCCCTTTAGCAGTGCCTGTCTTTGAACTGACCACGGAGCCAGATCACAAAGCATGGGGATGACATCTTGCTTATAGCTCCTATAGATTCCAGTACTGATCCCAGTCACCTCTGTTAGGAGCAGTGTAAAACTCACTTCCTATCACAGAATCACAGAACTGTTTGGTTCAGAAGAGACCTCAGAGGTTGTCTAGTTCCAAATCCTTACCAGGGGGCACTTTTCACCAGACAAAGTCGCCCACCCAACCTGGTTTTGAACATTTCCAGGGATGCCTGCTTTCAAACTGTGGTGGCTAACATGGTACCCTTAGGTAGGATTGTGAAGTTAAGAGATAAAGGTTTCCTTGTTCGTCATTGTGCTAGTGATTCACTCTTTATTTTATTTTAAACTAAATATTTTGACAGTGTCTTTTTAAAGTACCTGCTGACAACATCATGATTTGGAATTGGCAACTGTTGTATAGCAGTGAATTAATTTTAAGCAGTATAATTAAGTTTTGTCATTGTATCTGCATAGTGCTGATTCTCCCCAAGACAGATCCAAATTCTCTTTAACTAAACCAACACTTTTCAAACAGCAGTGTAAAGATTCTATATCCGTGTTGTCAAGGCTAGGAGCATCTGTTAGCTTTCATTAGCAATGTGTGCAACTGCAGGCAGGGCTGAGGAGAAGACAGAAAGGTATTTAAAAAGCTGTACATCACTTGCCAGTGTATGTTTTAAGCAGTTTATGTCTGTTAACAAAATACTGTTGATTTTGCAAATATTTAAGTAGTGTGCTTGATGATTTGACTATATGTGGCCTTTTTGCTTCAGTAGAGCTCCTTATTCTCCAAAAGATTTAATATACACCCAGGTGTTTGCAGAATCAGAGCCTAATATTGCAAAGCCTATTATCTTCACAATATATTCAGGCACCCTTTTTACCATGGCCAAAAAAGTATGTATGGGGTGTGTGTGTATGTGAGTTTAAGCAACTGCAACTGTTCTAGTTGATGTTATAGCAACCCTTCAGTTATCTATGCATTTTTTATAATACCTAGTGATTCTGTAGGCCGGCAGCCATGTTCACTATGCCTTGTATGTCTGATGCCATATTCTAACTTAACCTGTTAAATACAGCTTAAAATATTTTTATTTTATTTATTCTATTTTTACTGAAATATCCTGCTTTATTATGTTGATGTATTGTCTTTACTGGATGTGCTCTTGTAACATTCTCCACTCTGTATACTATAGGTTGCCTAAAAAAGACAGGCTTTGTAATTATTTGTAGTCACATTTTTATTGAAATCTGTAGAAGAATCATGTAAAGCAAAGCGAACTTCTTAATTTTTTTCAATGCAAGTAGTAAGTTAGAGGTATCACATGTCAGTCAGTCATGTAATTAACACACTCCTTGCAGAAGCAAGGAGATTTATATTCACAGTCAATGACTAATAGATAAAAGCTTTTCTTTTGAAATCTGTAGTGCTGGCTGTAGGTTTTATTTAAGCCACTTACTGTTTCATTTACTGGGGAGCAAGGAGGTGTGGGAGATGAAAGGCCATGGAGGCTACCTACAGGGTGGTTAACTGGGAATAACAAAAATAGCATAGGAATAGCATAAAATCCATTCACAGTAGAACAAGGTATACTGATACACTTCCTGTGCAGAGTCACCTGTACCTAACAGAATTATTATACCCTTTAGTGGCAGAGGAACAAAAACTGTGGAATATCTAACAGCTCACACCAGTTCTCTGTCACTAAGGGTTCTACATGTGTTAATTTTATCAACCATTTCATGGATCATTTACCATGGAATCCAAAAGTGTTAGTACATCACCCATTGAAAAGAGAACATTCTCATTTCAAGAGTCAGTATGGGCTCAGCATTTCAATATTACCCCCAAATGCATTACTCTTGGGCATGGTAATTAGCACATTGCCACAACGTGTGCTGTCCCATCAGTCAATGGGACAGGTTTACTTAAGTTAAATCAGGTTTGATTTAACAGCAGTAAGAAAGAAGGAAACACACCACTGTTTATTAGCAGAGCCCAGTCTTACATAAAAGTACATGACTGACAACAAAAAGGACAATTTTCCCTGCTGTTGACCACTTCTCCACATTTAAATGTAATCTGTTCTGAGAATAAATTTAGCTGCATAAAGTGATTGTCTCAACTGTTACTACTCCATGAAACTGCGAAATTATTTTGTTCAAAATGGTGGTTGAGGGAAGGGAAAAACGTACTGGTGGTTTAGAGGCAATAGCAGTACTGTGAAGAGTTTTGTATCTGGAAAGCTGAATCAACACTTTCTAGTTGAAAATTACAAATAGACAACTAGATTACAGAAAAATAGTTACATAAGATACAGTTTTACTGTAAAAAGTCATTGAGTGTTATAGGCATCTACCTACAAACCATCTGAAGTCAGTCCCAGATGTTGCCACCATGTGATGTTCCAGGCTTACAAAGTAAGCTGCTGACCTGCAGTTGAAATATTCAATCTCTGATATTCTTGGTAAGACATCAAGATTCTAACTGGTTTAACCTCCATACTGTGTCAAAAATGCAAATTCCTGAAAGCAACATGAGGCCAAGTTTGGGACATCATGGCACATATTACGTAAGTAGCCCAGAAATTCTGTCATTAGACACAGGTATGTTGTTTTACAAGTAATTTTAACTTTATTAATGAATGGTACAGATCTTGATTTAAAAAAAAAATCATTCTTTAACTGCAGAGCCTCTTAAGTCTATTTTAAGCATTTAACAACCATATTGGAAAAAATATATCTCCATAGTGTCCATTCCTTCTATCCAACATGTAGAATCTCTCCTCCTCCTAGATGGTTTTGCAATAAAATAAGAACTTCTTTTTTTCTAGTGCTACACGTGACATGTGTATGGGTCTACATCTATGTCTAAATCTATCCTTACAAATTTGTTCAGGAATAAGAGTAGAGTTCACTGTGTTACTGGAATGGGTAGGGAGCATGGATTGCTCACAGCGATATGCAGGTGAGGGATGTCTTTGTACAAGACAGCTGGTTCAGATTAAAATGCTAAAAGAAATTTTCACTGATTCAGTGAAGCAAGGATATTTATCAGATGAACAAGAGACAGCTGTCTGCACTGCTAGTGTAATATCATTCACATCTTTTCTTAAAAAGGTACTGCTCATCCAGTGACACTGACTGGTGTGGGTGAAAACAGAGATGTTACAATATTTTCTCTGGGTGGGTCTAAATCCAAACCCATATGTCAAATTGGTTAAGTTCCACACTATATTGGTGATGCTCCTGGCAACACTCTTGCTAAGTATCTGAAATAGTTGCCTAGAGGAAAATTTCTGCTACCTTTGCCTTTCTGTATTGCTGTGCTATCTCTATTTCATTTTTACAACTTCTAAATACAAATCAGATTTATTGTTAAAAGTATCTCTGTGCCTCCCTTTATCCTCTACTCATATTACAAGACAATTGTAGATATTTTACAGTTATTTTATCTTTGCTACCAAAAGGGAGCAGCTTAGAAGCCCACAGCTGTTCCCAAAGACAGGCAGCTACTCTTTGTCCAGTCATTATTCAGCTGACTAGCAGTAACATTTATAAAAATGTTACTTTGACAGTAGCAGCTCTTTTCAACTAAGAACTGTTTATGTTAAGAAATTGATGAAAAGCAGTTACGAACCATGACATAGTCTGATGTGACATTATGATGACAATTCAGGGTTTTTAGCATGAGAATATTTGATGTAAATTTCACTATTAGTATTTCAATGCACACTTAAGAAGAAACCAAGAAAACATGTACTGGAAAGCCTATGCATGGGCTTTAATGTACTTAGCCAGTTTCCTATACAAAAGTTCAATATTTAGTTTTAGAAATACAAGGCTTATTTCCATGCATCAATCTTAAGCGGAAACTCACAAAAATCTAGCACTTGTAGAGCAAACCCACTTTAAAAAATTCAGTCTCACTTTAAAAACATCAATATGAAACTGATTACTTGTACAGGTTTAGATCACAGTGGGGGGATTTAGCTTGTCACTTATACCTGTATATAGCAAGAGGCTATCATTCTTTGACCTCACTTCCACCAAGAGTCTATCAGCCTTAGGCAGCTGAGCTGCATTCACTTTGAAGTGTCATTACTGCATTAAAAGTTACTATCTAACATGGATATTTATACATACATAGCCCATAATAAATCTATCCCAAGGCCAGATTATCCTTGCATAAAGATATACTGTAATGTAAGAGTATTGATAAATATACAGGAATCTTTACCTTCTTTACAAAGGGAAGTTAGAGTCTGAAGGTTCATACAGCCAAGTTTGCTTGACCATTTTTGACCAGGGTGGTGGAATTATCCAACCACTTGGATCCTGTGCTCCAATCTGGCCATGAAAGCAATGTTAAGTTGATACCCTGGGCTTGTTTCATTACAACCTTTCATATTGTGTTATTAATGGAGGCAAAGTGATTGCCAGGAGCTTCAGCACAAGCCTGATCTGTTCTGCATGTGCCTTTTGAGCAGGTGTCTGTCTCTCATATGCCTTGCCCAGAGGTGACAGATGAGATGTGGGCTTTGGCACTTTCAGTGGGGCTGTGTGTGAATGAGGGTTCTTCAGTTCAACACGGCTGACTGTTGGGGGCACATTCTTTTGCTGTATGTTACTGACTGCTTTTTTCCGGTGCACATTCCTCTATGGTATTTTAGTGGCTGCTTTTGTTCGGTGCACTTTCTTTTGTGGTGTGTTACTGGCTGCTTTTTTTTGGTGCACAGTCTTCTGTGGTGTGTTACTGACTACTTTTTTTTTGTGCACAGTCTTCTGTGGTGCATTACTGGCTGCTTTTTTCCTGTGCACCGTCTTCTGTGATGCATTACTGGCTGCTTTTACGTGGCCCTCGTGCTGTTCTTGTATCTTACTGGCTGCTTTAGACACAGGAACTTCAGCCTTAACATTCGCACCAGTTTGGCGGTGAAGGAGCTTTGCAGCTTTTGGCTTACTAGCAGTAACCTTACGTCTACGTTGTTTTACTTTCTGCTTTTTCACCTCTTCTTTTGGTTTTTCTTCAGCGATGCCATCTAGTAGATTTTCTTCTTCAGCAGCATCCAAAATGTCTTTAGCAGACACTTTTTTAGAAGTACCTTTCTGAAAATTTCACAGGAAACACCAATGAATCTAAGCCACAATACTGAGCTACTCAGAATTTACTCCTTGGAAAAAAAAGACAGCAGAATCTAGCAGAAGGACTTAAGTCTCGTGTGATTAAATGCTAACCAAACTATTTATTCACCAAATTAAAAACTTGACTCATGCAAAGAAGTACTGGAGCATTTGCTCTTCAGAGGCTTTCTTCTCTACTGACCCAAAGAGGGGAAACTCAATTCTGGGCTCTGTAATGTGTGTCTGACTTGTGTTTAACCCCAGCTGGCTGCCAAGCCCCACGCAGCCACTTGCTGACTCCCCCACCAGCAGGATCAGGGAAGGAACTGGAAGAGTAAAGCTAGGGAACTCCTGGGTTAAGATAAAGACTGTGGTTCCCTGGGAGGACAAGTGCCATAACTGCAAATGTCCTCCCTTCCTCTTCCTTCCCCCCCCTTTATATACTGAGATGATACCACATGGTCTGGAATATCCCTTTGGTCAGTTTGGGTCACCTGTCCTGGCTGTGTCGCCTCCCACACACCCCCAGTCCCTTCAGCAGTGTGAAAAGCAGAAAAGGCCTTGGCTCTGTATAAGCCCTGCCCAGCAATAACAAAACCATCTCTATGTTGTCAACCCTGTGTTCAGCACAAATCCAAAACACAGGTCCACACAAGTCACTGTGAGGAAAATTAATTCCACCCCAGCCAAAACCAACACACTCCCACACTGACCTGGTCTGTAATATGTCTGTAAGAACATACATATCTATTACCTCTGTGTGTGTATCAGAAAGAGTTACTAAAATACAGAAATATCAGTAACATTAAACATGAGTAATTTCGCAGTAATGAAAGTTCTTGCTCATAATAAGTAAGGAGCTCTCAAACTAGGAACAAGGTAAGCATCCAAGTATATAAAGAGAAACCTGGAGAAGAAACTATTTACAACAAGCTAAGAAGAAAGTTTCTGTAAACAAGGAATTTCAGTTTAAATTATAAGTACATGTTTTCTACTTTGTGGAAAATGTTCATTTCCTGAATCACCTAAAAAGTGGCCATTGGAGCAATTGCTTCTTTGTATTAGAATCTGGCCCAAAAAAATTACTTGAATTAACTACCTGCAACAAAAGTGTTTGTTTCTCTGGAGAGAGACAATATGGTAGAGATGCACATAGCATGATAAATATTTTTAACTTGGTTTGAGCTTTAGTTAAATATTGTAGAGAAAGAAATAATAGGTAATTTGAAGGGCTTTTCATATGTAATTCTCTTACTCTTAATAAAATCTAACTTCTCCCAAGAGGCAAGCTTCCTTCAAACACTGTAATCGCAGTATGACAGAAAATGGTACAAATCACCAATCTCAATCTCCTTGATCTCTTATATTTAATTTGCAATGAAATTAAGATTAGTTCTTCCCCACAGCCCTTCCACTTTTGGTGGAAATATTGTGTGTTTTTCTTAGAGACAAGGACAATGTTGATGCTCAGAGATGCAAACTAGCCCTTTAAGGCTTTTCTTCAGGAATCATGCCAAGACTTTTCTGTTTACTCAGCAAAAGCCCCCTGTCTTTCAAGCCAGATTTGCATATGCCTTAGTTTGGGAAGGAAACATATTCATATCTATTTTATTCAAATTATAATAGTGTCACCCATAGGAATTAAGATTTTGGCTGCTTGGATACTGAAAAATCTTGGTGACACATATAACAAATACATTTACTAGACACCATTTTATCATGAGTCTAATCAAGCTGTGTATTTAATTCCAAAGTGTGATAACAGCAATATATTTCTTCTAGATGTTGCTGGCACTAACTTGGAGCAAGGGCCTGCTCTGATCATGAAGAGCTCCAGAAGAACAAGCACATCTTTTAAAGCTGTGCTCAGCATAAAACTCCAGAAGTGGCACATTTCAACTGCTCACCTGTCTTTCAGTCTTAAGACAACTAAAGAGCAGCCAGGAATTTTATTTGAAATGTTCCATTTTGTTTATTCTTCTGTGGAAAATGGCAGTACTCATCTTCTGTGAAGTGATTTTAAATGGCTATCTTCGTAGCTTACCTCTCTCTCTAGAACAGCTAGGAAACAGCCACTGGAAATTTCTGATGGCTCCATTTTGAAAAACATTTCAGTGGAAGACTCTGAATTGGAGCAAGTAGAAAAAACAGAAGGAATAACCCTGTAAAAAGGAAACAGAAGACCAGAAAATAATATTTAAGAATATAAAAGGAAATAGACAAGGATACATTAAAAGTAATTTTCAAATTATATCTTTCAATAACAGTTTTATCATTAGTTTTTAAAACTGCAATTCAGGCAAATCATGATAATTCACCTTTTTAGAATAAGTGGGTGTTTTCCTTTTTTTTCAGTAATTCCTTTTTTTTCCCCAATGATTAAGTGTATTAATCACCAGATAATAATAATAACTAATAAATATCTATCTAAGCTAAAAATATTAGGTTAGGAAAATTTGCTATTTGTTCTAATTGAGGACTTTTTTCTCCAATTTTAGTTTTTCAGTGCATCAGTGGGGAGGGAAGAACTAACCTCTTCTCCTGTTCTTCATTGATTCCAGAAATGCCTGATTGTTATAAAACAGTCTCAAGGACTTGGCTCATAAAGCTAGCAAACTAGTACTAAGCTGTCTCAGTACAGACAAACACTATTAAAATGTCGTTTTGTAATTATAATTCCCTCTTCTTCACTGTAAGCTAGAGTGCTACTCCTTAATGGTCCACTAACCCTCTTGTGAAAAAGCCTTACTCAAAGATGGTTACAGAGAGATATATTCAATATTTGAAAACAATATCCTGATTTGGCTGGCTAGTTTGATTTTAATGGGAAATCTGCAAAACTATTTGTTTCCAAGTTCTCACCGTGATCTGGATTTTTTTTCTGTGTCTCTTGGAACTTCATAAAACAGGCTACAAGGCTCATGTTCTCCTCACATTAAATAAATAAAACTCTTACATCTTATGACACAGATTTTTGATTTTAGATCAGCTTATTCAATGGAAAAAACCACAAAGTGGTAATCTTTTATTGATGTATACAAGTTACTGTTCATCAGGAATCCCTTTAATGACCCTGAAAAATTATGCAGAAATTAATTCAAATGTGATAGGCTAAAGCAAAATACATGAGTGGTTTAGACTACTTTCTATACACACCTGTTTGCCATGTGTACCCTTTCTTTAGGTAAAGCTGCTGCTGTAAACTGTCATATCCTGAAGGGAAGTTCAGCTTAACCAGTGCAAACATGTTTGAAATCACCCTTAAAACTGCACAGCCCTAAGACCAGCTGTGTGACCCCAAACTCCAACAGAGCCTTATTTTGTTTGGCACCACTTCCCTACTGCAGAGGAATTCCAAAAGATAAATTGCAACTAAGCAAAATTGTTGTAAGAGTTTCCTAAGAGGCCTCCATTTTCTTAGAAAAGAGAATTTATATTCAGTAGATCTTTGATGATCATACAACATGTTTTATTATGACTTGTCTCTCAAAGATACTACTGTGAACTTGGGGGCTAGTAACTCTGCAGCAGCCTTTTATTCTATACTGCACTGTTCTAGTCAAATAAATTCTCTAATTCTAAGAAAAGTGTAAAAGGAATTTTGGTAAGTAGTACATGCATCTTAAATGGCTTGACCTTTCTCATCTTAAGCATAATCACTCTGTATATTTTATTTATGGTGTTCTGTGCTCTGTTCGTGCTGGTTACCAGCAGCTTTATTGTAGCAAGGACTACAATGAAACATCCAAGATACTGCCAGACAGTGAAGGAGGAACTGAATCTGAAATTGTCATTTATGAAACTCAGAAATGTGCTCAAGTCTGAAAAAATCCTAACATAATTTTATTGTCCTTTTCTTACCATCCAAGATTGCCTTTTTGAAAGTGTAATATGATTTGGTGGTTTGACAACATCCATAATGCTTCTGCAAAACAGTGAAGAGATTTTGGGATAGCTTTGTGGGGAGGGGAGGTGTTTCACAGAAGGGGGATTTTTAAAAAAAAAACAAAGCTCCAGGAACTTTTTTTTCTTTAATAATTTTTTTTTGTTACGAATTTACATATTATTTATGTTCAATAATTTAGAGGCCATTACATTCCAAAGTCCCCCAAGTTCTCTTCATAGAATAACAGCTGCACAGAGGTCAGACTCCAGAAAATTTCAAATTCCAAAGGAAAGCACAAGCAAGAGGCCATAAATGGCTGACGGGATGACAGGTTATAACGACATACAAAGTATACAGCATACATACTTTTTTCATATATATTTGTATTTGCCATGATTCCAAAGGATGATCTCTACAGTAGACCTGTCCTTCCCAGAAGTCATTCATCTGAATACAGCAATGAGCAATCCTACAGCAAATGGTTCTTATTCTTTTGTATTATTCTTACAATTTAAGATTTACTTTTTCCTTTGAAATTGATTATTCTACATCAGAAGCAGAGAGCATGCTAGCAAGTTAGTTTCATTGTCTGAATACTAATACAATAATGGCAATAGCTCTATCTGAAGAATGTTATTTCCAACCAGTGATGCTTTCCTCCAATCTTAATTTCAGATGAACAAAAATATTAGATGAGAAAGTCAATTGAATACTGCTAAGTAATCTCATAAACAAAAAGAATGGTGTGACAGGCAGCAAAAGCTATTTTAATTTCATGTAAGATACTTATCAGTCTAGAATAAGAATTATGCTACAATTTAAAGTCATACTTTAATTTTTCCACAGATAAAAACTACTCATTCTGTACCTATATCGTCGTACTTTATCTCCCTCCACTCCAGATTCCAGTGCTTTTTGCACTACAAGTTCATTTTCTTCTGGGTAAACTGAACAAGTGCAGTAAACAATAGCTTGTACTTTTTTAACTACAAAACAAAACACAACTTTTTTACTCTTCAGATTCTTCATACAGACAGTGGTTTGGTAAGGATTAAAAGCATCATAAAAATTATGTCACTTTTACCTCCTGATCTCTAGTGTTTTTAAATAATTAAAATATTTTCAAATATTTGCAGATTTCAGCACAAAGTCAAAGCTGTCTCCAGTCTTTTCATACAGCTACCAAAGGAGAGAGGAAAAAAGTGGCAGCATGCAGATGGAGGGAGACTACATTTGCAGAATTTCCAAAGCAGAGTATAACTAAGCCATAAGCCAGTTCTCTGCACAATACTGAAGACTATTGTATTAATGTCTGGTAGACACCAGGATACACAAACACCTTCAGACTGGAGGAAATAATTATTCAGGGGGTTTGGTTACATGCTTATTGCTAATTAATAGAGTAATTGGTGTATTTTTAACTCTATTAAGACTGTGATAATACAATTTAATTGATAGGCAAAGTCTTCCCAGAAATTAGGAAACTAGCACACTTACATTTCAGTGCATGAATCAACTCATTAAGCTGCCTCTCAGCAAGAATACTGAGTTTATCCTCAGACACAAATCCCTGGAAAAGGTCTCGTAGCAATCCTGCATCTAAAAGCAGAGAGTAGTAAATTTAGTCTTGCAATTTATATTCGTGTCTGACAATTCAGTTGTTTGCAGAAGCAGACATGGTTGTTACTGGTGCAATGGGAAGGTAAGTTTTACAAATTAGAACACCAAGGAGCACCTGATTTATTTGCTTTACTTCTTTACTGGTAATTGCTGGTGCCTCTTACTTGCTTCTAGTTAACAAAAACTGTACAGTGAAAGGACTTACACAAACAGTCGATAAAGGAATATAATCAAATAGAAAATTATATACATGTTGGTATCTTGACACGAATTTTCTGCCTATAGTCTTTTTACTTAAAAAAAACTATACACACTCTGCTCCACAGATTCACCCTCAAACTTTCATACTATCAACCTGAAGAAGTCACAGAATTATGCAATTTATATGTTTTATAGTAATTAAAATAAGGAAGGCTTCTTTAAGTTATATAATTTACTGAAGCACTTATATTGTCTAGACTATAATACTGGGATCTGTTTCTACCAGAAAGCATAGCTAGATATTATATCAAAAGTTACCTCTGTTTTCACTTAAAATAAACTCCATTGGATTGCCAGCACCCAGTCCAGAGCATTGTGGTAGCAGCAAAATAACTTTTGCCTTATCAAGCCTTGGGTCTGTTGGTTCAAGCTCAGTAAAATCTTCATGTAACAACTGAATATCTGAAAAACAGGAAAAACTCAACACTTACAGACTGCAAGCAAGTCTGCCTACAGGTGATACAAGTGAAGAGACTGTGGTATTACATGGAAGTCGACAGAGCTAGAGCCTGCTAGATTCAGATCCTCCAAAGTATGGGCTATGGATTTCAGAGGTCAAAGGGCTGCATCTTCCACTGAAAAGACAGTTAATGGGGTTTCAGTTTTGCTGCATTCTGTCCTGATAGTGTCCTCCAGGTAAACTGGAAAACTGCATGTGTTTTGGATTAACACTCTCAGATAGCTGGAAATCAGACTGAAAGCAACAGCCAAAACACCAAAAGTTCCCTGCTACCACCTACAGCAACTGCTATGTAGAAGCTACTTCTATGGAAAAAATCACCAATATTTCAGGAGCTTTCAACTATGATATGGGTAGACTGCAATTTACTTGACTGTAGCTGAAGAGCTATCAGCTCACCTTGTGACAAAAAAGTTGTTACTGCCACCCCCAAGCCTCCAAAGGGATCTCTGAGTTCTGATAGAATGAGTCCATATTTACAAATATCATAAACATCTGTATTACAATACTTTTTAAATACCAACTGCTTTAGCACCTACTTTCACATCCCATGTGACTGAAACTGTTCCTCAATTCTTCTTCTTTTGCCGAAGATTTCACACCACAAGCAAAAATTTTGGATCTGCTGCTATTTGTCAGTACTGACATATGGGCAATGGTCAGGTGGGAACCTATGTGAGCCATTATAATGTCACCACCTTCACTCAACAGTGCCTGTGCAGAGTGGACAGCAAGGCTGCGAGACTTATCCTACAAAACAATGACACAAAAATTAAGTATAATCAACTGTTTTGGTTTCTGTGAATGCCAACCTTCTTTTCCAAATTGGGAAAGTATTTCATTGTTTTCATAGCAAATGGAAAAGAAGGGAGGAAAAAAAACTAATGAGGGATATCTGCTAATACAGAATTAAATAAATTACAAAACCAAGTGGTCACTCAATAAGTTTGAATAACTTAATTCTAAATAATACATTAAAAAGTATAATATCTATAGGTGAAAATTAAGTGCATATCATCCCTGTAAGGAGGAACTCTTAGCAACAGTTTGTTCCAGCAAAGACAAACGTAGGCCACAATTCAGGCAGAATTCATCCTCTGAGGCAGCTTAACAGAGAAATGCAAAACTATTCACATAGCTCTTGATGGTAATTCCAGGAAAAATGTTTCCCTTGTAGATCAAAGATCAAGATTTTGCTGAAATTCGAACAACAGAGGCAGACTGGAATGCAGAAAACAGAGACAGCTCCACAAGAGTAAATACTCTTGTACCACTGATGATTAAGAGAAAACTTTATCACATTACTTAGAAAGGCAAGGAGTGAAGATACTGACCAAAGATACCAGGTCTTGCACCAAATCTGACAAACTGATGATAAATGGAAAGGGAAAAACAAAGTGCTGAGCTTTTAAGTTCACATCATTGTCTATGCACACACAGTATTCAAGCACCACCACACCACAGAGATGGAAGTTTTGATGGTTTTCTTTACTCATTTTGAATACTTTTAAGTACATGCACTCAGAATTTGTTCCCATTACCTATAGGGCTCTCATCTATAGTTTTTTTCTGTAAGTATTCTATTTAAAATCTACAAACTGAAGTGGAATATTGAATACTGAGTCACTTTTTAATTTGAGCAATACATTTTAAGGCTAAAGTTTTCAGACATCTAGCGAAAATGATGGTTGAAATGTTTCTGATAGGCACTCAAGAATCACCAAACAGTTCAGATAATTCATGGTTGTGTTGTTGCATGGTTACTGCAAACCACTAGTCTAGAACAGAAACCTCCCATCAAACTTCACTGGGGAGTCTCTAATGATGGCAAGTCAGGAAGAAGACCAGTGGGGGTTATGAAGATCAAGGAACCACACTGCAAAGTACAATCATTCCATCACAAACGTGCATTTGAAGAGAAAGAAATATTACAATAGCATACTACTATCTACTAACTGACGGAAAGCATATTGAGTTATATTGAAACTTTCCTCACAATTTCAGAAGTGAGACTGCCTCTTTTGACCACTTTTTATATTTAGTTCAACACCTCTAAGATTAAATTTAAAACATTCTACTAACTTAATTGCAGCTATCAATTATAAGCATTGACATTTGTATGCTAAATTCAGTAAGTGGATCAGTTTGTAACCTAATTATTACAAATGTCCAAAGCCTTATGAGAGTTTGTTGCTGCCTGATTTAATAGAATAGTCACACAATACACAACCTCTTCCTAATACAAAGCAATTATTTCAATTTGCAGGTCATCTGACTCAAGGCTGAACATCAACTCACCTGCAGTAAGAGTTTGCAATCAGCAAAAAGATCTAAATTAAGCAGTTCTTCTCTAAGAGAGGAAGGAAAAACCAATACATCGTGGCAATGTTGGTCCACAGCATATGTGTAATGGTCCAAGTCTGACACAGATTCAACTTTTCTGAATCCCTTCATCTCCAAATCTCTGATAACATCTTCAAGGCTGTTAACACACAACTCTGACCATTAAATATACAAGAGTTACTTCAGCAACATAGTTTACATTGATTATAAGAATTTTTTACTTCTGTTATTGTGTGTGTATACATATGCATACATATAGAGGTATAAAATGCATGCTGTCTAATGCAGGAGGGAAACTTACTCTACTTTAGGCATGTAAGTTCTAGTTTGAAACAAGTAAGTTAATAAGTCTGATGCAATTAATTAAAAAAGAGGTATGTGTCTCCAGAGGATGATTCAAAGCATCGAAACAGAAATGTCCATGTGCTCAGGAGACACTGTAGTAAATTCACTGCTGGAATTCTTTAGTTCTTTCAATTGCTTTCAGTCTAGCCCAACTCACCAATAATTTTAATAGCTGATACTGAAAGAATCCTTGTGTAAATGTAATAAAGGCATAACTGCTGAGGTTAGCAATTTAAATATCATAAATATTTAAAGGCATATATAGCAAGAGATGGTTGTTGAAATGCTATTTCAGACAGTGCCATAAGTTTATACAGTACATTAAACGTGGAATGAATGGAGCAGTTTTTATTTATTTCCTATTTAAGGGTTCTAAAGTCACACCCAAAGTGAGATGTATTATCTTAAAGAGTCTATAACCTAAGCATTGAACATTAGCCCAAGACAAGAGTAGTAAAACAAAATTCCTGAAAATGTTATAAAGTGGATTACCTGTCTAACAAAACAGATAACAGGATAATCTGGTATGGTTCATGAATCAGTTAGTACTGAACTGGGAACATCAGTGTTACATATATAGTACCCTACAGAATATAAGGATTTTTAAAAGTGTATTTTAATTTCAAGTTTATACTATCCTGACAAAATAAACAGCAGGTTTAAGTATTGTGTCTTAACACCCTTTGCCAAGATTATGGTTTACACTAATACACCCACTTTTAAAGACAATTTCTCTTATTTTTTGTCACCAAGTTAACTCACCTATATTTTTTTCTAACTTTATTTCCTCATTGATTTGGTGAAAGACCCACACAAGCAATAGAACAGTAAGAAGAATTGTTTCAAAATAGTGTATAAATACCACTACTGCAATATATAAAAACTACCAAAAAAACTATAACAAAATGGCACTGGACTAAACAGAGTTTCCTGTAAGAATTTTTAATTACTGGTAAAAATATGGAAATCTGGGAATTCTAAAAGAAGTATGTAGCAAACTATATCACTTCGTATGCAAAAACATCAGATGTATCAGATGATACTTTAAAGACCTTACCTGATTTTAAATGTGTTTATCCAAAAACAGAGAGGTAAAGTAGAAGCCCTTTGTTCCTGCTTCCATATGGTTTCTGGTACAAAGTATTCAATTGAAAGAGCATCATATTTGATGCGACATCGTGCTAGTGCAGCTGCCAGTTTGGTCCTGTAACTATAAAAACAGTCACAAGTTCTATAAGTTTTATAAATGTTTTCATCAGCTATTAGCATGCAACATTTCTGTTACAATACCATCTTCCTCAGAAACCAAATCCAAAAGGGACACCTTCTTTTGCAAGTTTCAACAGAAAATACAGTTACAGAACGTTTTCTACCCTAGACAACAGCAGATGCAAGGGGGTAGTCAACAGCTAGGATTATTTTATTTTTATCAAGCAGGACTGAAATCATAACAGGTGACTCTCAAATACATCCATATTCTCAGCTAAAAAAAAATCTCAGTATGTTTTGGAACTGCAATATGTGGAATACAACCATCAGATTCATTTGCATGTTTGAAAATGTAACTACATATACGTGCAAAATGAGTATTTGATGAAAGCTGGCTCCTAAATGTGTACAGAAACAATACAAGTATGATGGCAACCAGGAGTCACTTTTATTATTATTACATGAAAATGTCTGAGAAAATATTTCCAATCTTTTCTTCCCACAAGCTTCATGCATACTCCTGATACATGACAATTCAAAACAAACAAAAATTGCTGGTGAACTACTTAAGATATCTTAATTACTGCCCTCCAGAAATACCTTGCACTTAAGAGATTAATGAACTTGGCTATTCTAAATCCAGCAGCAAAACAATTTTGTCTAATAAATGCCTTTTATGTTAATCAACTGACTGATGGACGAAACAATAAATATTAAAATGTTTATGTATTCTGGTTATTGTTCTAATTACTTAAAATAATAAATACTTAACAAAGTTTCATAGTAGAAGTACTACTAAATAAACAAATGTTATTCTCTTCCATGACCTTTTGACTCTATTACACTTGCATTTATGAACATTTACTGAATATTTAATTTCCTTCCTAGAACTGTATGAAAGTTTCAACAATGCCAAAATAAGATAAGATGCCTGCAAATTAATCCACAATATAAGGATGGTTTCTTAGCTGTATTTTTCATAATTGTATAAATATGAATGTTTGCCTACAAACTAAGCTCTCACTAAAAAAAAAAAAAAGCCCGCAAAATTTTAAGGTGAAAGACATGTTTAGAATTACCTTTAAAAAGCACTGATTCTACAAATCTTCACTTTTGCTAGTCTCTATCAACAGAAAATAGCTCTTTGCACATATACCTGTATAAATAATTCTCTATTTCCTGAACCTCTGCTACAAGTTCCTCTTCAGCAAAAATCTTTCGTTTTTTAAACTTTCGGTCTTGTAGATCATAAAGAATCACAACAAGCAAGCTGGTTAACTCATCTGGCTGCAAGAGAAAAGCAACTGGATAGAGAAAGTGACCCAAAGTGTGCATTATTTCTGCAAAAAAAGATCCATATCAAACAGCAGTCTCCCATGTAAAAGGCATTAAAAACCCTTAAATGCTCACTCGCGAGAATATGAAAGCAATTACTTGTGAAGGGTTAATAAAACACTTTTTAAAAAATATTGTTTTAAAGCTCAAATGCATAACTTATAAGCTATTTAGATTATCAAAATTCAAAACATTCTTCATGCACACAGATAAAATACTCTGTCTTAATATCTAATGTTACCAGAATTGAAACTTTGAAATTATTTTTTCTTCATAAAGTAATTTGTTAAATAGCTAAGCTAACAAAAGCTTCTTGTCTATCACTTCCTCTCTTGTGGGATTCTTCCATATGTAGCATCCAATACACTCAGTTACAATAACCTTTCTGCTTTTGGGATATATATAAAACCTTCTTTCCCTGTCTAGATGTTTAAACCAGGGAGCATCTCCTGCTCAAGGACAATGATTACTGCACTTCAGTTACTACTGTCTGCCTCTTTACATGAAATTCTTACAATTATTATGCCTTCTAAAATTTTCACCTTCTCAAAAATAGTCTTGTCTCAAAATCAGTTAGAAACCTCAAGTTATTAGGGAAATACCACCAAACACAAAATGTTAGTATGAAAGGCTTACTTCCTTACAAAAACAAGGCAAAGATAAATGTGTTCAATCATCTGCCTGCTCACATCAACCTCCACAAACAAGAACAGCTCAAGTTTATCTTCCAATTTTCAAAGGCATCAAAGACAAAACTGGAAATAACAGCAGAATATTCTGCTACCTCTAGAATTCCTTTCCAGGTCAAAGCAGGAAAGCATGTCGAGAGAGTAAACTGGACCAGTTTTTGCCAGTACAGTATTTGTATATAGTACCATTTGCCCAGGAAATGAATAATGGGGTCAATGCATTTTTTTGTCTGATGGGATTCACTCCATGTTTTCCAACTCCCAAGGATAGGAAGGAAACATTTTCTTTCCCTGCTCACAAGGGGACATAGCTGGGAAGGAAAGCTCATGGACATGGATAATGCAGTACTGAGCAAGTACTACACTGCAGTAAAGTTCATGGCTTGCTCTCCCACTTCCTTTCTTTGAAAGTTTTGACTCCCAGCAACCAGTTGCAAGAGAATCTCACAGCAGACTTTGGAGATGGATGCTTTAGACAACTATGTAAAAAGGTCAGCAATATTCCAGTCTAAGGCTGTCATGTAGTTCAAAACAACAAAGAATTGTTTTGAAGAATGTTGTAGAACCCTCAGAACAGGTACTAATTACATCAACACAGAAATGTTCACTTACTATTGAGTAGCACGGGTAAGTACGACTATCTAACAATATTTCTTCAAGAAGATTTTGATCTGTAAAAAGAAGAAAACGTTGACAAGTTATGCCACTCTCTACAAGATTCTCTGGAAGTTAACCTTGTAAGTCACCAAACTAATTTTAAACATCATGAAAATTGAGGGCAAATTCAATCATCAACAGAAGCAACCCTATGTAATTCATTTACATGAAAAAGAATAGACTTTAAATGTTCAATTTCACAAATGCTGAAAATACTTAGCTATATTTAAATATTTGAGGGATATGAGTAATCTAGTAAATGTACATATTCATCCATAATTAGGATCTGAAAAGAAACACTGACATGAGCTTGGTTCTAGTGACACCAAGGTTATGGATTCAATCCCCTTATGGGCCATTCTTGATGATTCTTGTAGGTGTCTTCCAATTCAGAATATTCTGTGAATCTGTGACTCTGTAATAACCTGAACCTTCACAAAAATTTCCCCAGATCTCTGCTGTCAGGCAAGACACTGAACATTTGTTTTGCCATGTTTTCTCTGCTGCATCATTTCTGTTGGCATTTCTTGGGTAAGTTTTGTACTTACATTTTAGAGTATTGAAAGCCAGTTCATAAGATACACGCCTGGAATGCTCATCTTTAAAAGCCATCATGGGAGAGTCTGAGTTACCGCCATACCGCACCTGGATTTTATCCTCACTCTTTTCAGTATGAATGCCTTGAAAAATCTTAGCTGCATTTATGTATATCGAATCGGGATAGCCATTCTTCTCAATCTGAGTCACTGCTCTTTTTTCAACAGATCTCTTTTCATCCGAAATTTTCATTTCACTCAAGACTGAAGTACCATTTATAACATCCACATGCGAAGACACCAAATTACTTTCAGAATCTGGCATTTTTCCAGTTGCTGACTCTGTAAGTGCAAGTCACAATCCTGCTGCCTCTGCAAAAAACAAAGTTTGTATTGAATCATGAAATTTTCTTTCACTAGAATACACTTTTCCCTTCCTTTCAGGGTTTTCAATAGAATTTCTTTTATTTTTTCAATCTTGAAAATACATATATATGTGTATCATCTATATTTCTATACACATATCATCTTACACGTCATAGAGAAGTTTTTATAAGAGTTTTCTTACATTATTGGTTTTCACCAATGCACATGCAAAGACTGGTTACTTGTTTCAAAAAGGTCACTGCTTTACAATCACTGGTCCTTTATGGACTATACACACAGATTCGATTCTGTGTGTCTAATAAACCATTATTATTGCAGGCAGAATAGTATCTCTTACTAGGAATTCTCCTTTAACAAAAAAGACACCAAAATTTCAAAGCAGACATCATGTCTTCCAAAGAAGAACCATCTTGAAAAGAGCTGCAATGAATTCCAAATGTTTGTCCACTAAACTCTATATCTGTTCTCAAAAGTGGAAAACAGAGATCACCTAAATGTTAATGTATTTAATGTATTATCTACACAGCACAATTTTAAATGCAGGAAATCCATTCTGAGAGTCTCTCGAGGTGTTATCCAACTCTCCGTATGCCCATGTGCATTTCTTAAATTTTCTACACATCTTACATTAACAGTAGAATAAAAATTATTTCCTCGGAGGTGGAATAGGGCATCAAGGAAATGAAAAAGTCCCACAGTCAGTTGTATGCAAAAATATGCTAAAGCTCCACATAAAACATATCTAAAGTATTGGATTTACCCTACTTGTTCTGGTTGTTATAATATGCATTTATGATAATACCTACAGATGCAGAAGTCATATTAAATGTTCAGAAGTGGGTTAAGCCAGAACAAACTTAAATACAGAATAAAGATTTTAAAAAAAAATCAAACTAATTTTCCTGCCTAGGGAAGAATAATACAAAAGGACTATGAGAAATTTAGCAGCTATACCACAAGAAGCTAGGCATGGATCCGCTGCTGGCAAAGAGTTCTGGATATTTTAGAATTAAGAGCACAAAATAGCACAATTGGGGGGGTGGGGGAGAAGATGCTATTCTGTTCAAATGGAAGAAGTCTTCTTTTTTGCTACATAATTTAGTTCATTACAACAATTCTCAAGCTTTTTTCCCTGCCCTCCCCAGCATCACTAAGGATAACATACATACCTCTTCTCCCCAGTTCTGACATACTTGCTCAGCATCCTTTCTTTCTCTCTCCTTTCCTGCCCCATCACAGAAAACCATAGAGGCAATGGAGGATGGCAGGACACTGAGTTGGAGAGGCAAGGAAGGGGCACAAACTTCAAATTGTTGCTTCTCCAGCAGGCAGCCATGAAATGCTCCATGCTGAGCCAGCATTCCCCCAGTCAAACTCCCTTTCCCAAACATGGGTGATGTTCAGCCCATCTCTCCACTCTCCAAGGCCAGCACAAGTCAGTGGCTGACCAGCCCGGCATGCTCCACACAATGGACCAGTGTGGCTTCCTGAATTCTGGCAACCCGTCTGGAAGAGGCCACATCTCATTCCCCTTCCCCAGGATTTGCTCTCCAAAACTGAGAACTGCTAACCCTGTAGGAGCAACTTTTACTGTTACTTTATAGAGGCCTCAGGCCTCAGACAGTTTCTTCTAGCCGTAGTTTTGCCCCAACATCCCTGTTAGATGGATCCATGGAGCAAAAATAAGTTTATTTTATGAAGCCTTATTGAAACAGAACAAGCAATGCTATCAAAAAGAAAGCCCTATTCTTCACTAGAATAAAGCACCAGATCACCTAAACCAAACTGAAACGCTTGTGCTTAGAAAGGGAAAAAAAACATAAATGCTTTCATAATCTTTTACACTATTTTGACTAGCAAATGTATCTCACAGAAACAGAGGCACCATCTCAGAGGCCTGAAACTCAAATGTCTTCTCCAGGTGAATGCAAATATTCCACTTTAGAATATACAGCACGTGAACCATGTCTGTGTTGTAAGGACTTTGAAGATTCATAGAGTCCCCAGCTACTCTTTGTGACTTCTTTGCCAAAGCCATTTTTGCTGAGCCACAACACCCACTGGATGATTTGATGAATATACTTTCCCAAAAGACAAATGTCATCCTAATAAAGATGAGATGCCAGTGTTCTGCCCTGTGCAGACACACTGTGTGCTTGCAACACTGTAAATCACAGTCTGAATTACTCAACACTGTGCCAAGCAGAGAACACCAAGCTGGATTAATACAAAATTCAACTCTGAAGAAGAGCTTCCCAGACAAGAGAGAAAAGATCCTGCCTTTGTTTGTGGATCTCAAGCAGATTACTCAGTTGACAGGGAAAAAAAACCTGAAGGTCCCAAGGTCTCCTAAAACAGAATGGCTTGAAGGACATCTCCAGCTTTGACTTAATAAACTCAAGCAGACAGAATTATGACATTTATTCACTGCACAGCATAGTAAGTACTTCACACACACACACACACATAAAAATCACTAATTCCTTTGTTTATATACCAGTAAGTGTATCTTCCCCATTTCTTCAGTTATCACCTTTCTCAGTAGCCTCTACAAATAAAGAAAAGAGATTAACAGAAAACAGCCGCACAGCACTTGTGTTGTATCAGGTACAGCAGGCAGCCTGACCACCCAGTTCCGATTCACATTAACAGCGACTCCGTGAGAAGCGGGTACGTGAGCATGGACGTGGCTGCTCACACACCAACAGAGAATCCCTGGCAGCCGCAGACACGCGGTACTTTTGGTGTCACTAACTTTGTGGGTACGCATGACGGCATCTGCTTCCTAACATCACTGTGACTGACACTGAGCTTCAAACTGTGATAATTAATAAAAGATTCGTGTTAATCACAAAAGCATTGGGGTTTGTATAAACCAGAATACTAAGCTCCGAAGTGAAGCATGGACACTAGATAAAAGAAATTAGATGATAAAATCATTGTTTAAAATCACCTTGTTATATTACGTTGTATTATGTTACATTATATTATGTTATATTATGTTATGTTTTCCAAATAAGTTGTATCGGCTACCAGCTTACAAAATCAAACTTCCCAATAGCCCTTCCTGCTTTTGTCTAATCAATACTGCTTATCTCAAGCACCAGACTCCCAAAACTTCTCTGGTGGTTATCTACAAGAACCAGATGGCTATCTGTGACTGATTATCGCCCGAAGGCTTTCTAAATTTGTGTAAAGATGTTTATTCAAACACCACTGCTTATGACAACAAAAAAACCCAAAAATCATTGATTACAACGAGAAACCACAGTATAAAAAGAGGCTGCAAACCAAGGTTCAGGGGAGCGTGGAGTGGGCGATGACCCCTCACGTTCCCCAGCGCGCTGCTTGCATTTCTGTATCAAATAAAGCAATCTAAATTTTGCTGAATATCGAGACTTTTGTCTCTCATTTATAACAAAAGCCGCTGCTCCAGCCAAGCTGGAGGGCAGCGAAGACTGGTGGGAGTCAGGAAAACAAGTCAGCCAAGAGACCATTCCCCTATTGCGCTTTATTCAGGAGAAAGAGCTGAACTCCACCCACACAACATTCATATAGGAGGGAAAAGGAACAAAAAAAAAAAAAAAAAAATCAACCAGCTACTTCTTTGTAAAAGCAGGCAAAGCGTTCATTGTAACACTGCCCTGAAAAGCCCGGGAACACACCCAGCTCCCCAAAGCCCCGCGGCGCGGGCGGAAGCGCCGCCCTTGGCCTGGGCAGGGCCGCGGGACTCGTACCTGGCCCGGCTCCTGCGGCTCCCTCGGGGCGCTACGGGCGGGGCTGCGGGCACCACCCCCGGGCCCGTGCCGGGTAGGGGTGGCCCCATGCCGGGCACGGCAGCGGGGCCCCGGCACGGCCCGGTCTTTGGCCGCACCCGGCCGGCCCCGCCGCGGCCCACACGCACCTGCGGCTCCGCTGCGGGAGGCCGGGGCGCCGCCACCCGCCGTGCTCGGGCGGGGGCTCGGCCCGCACAGGCCCCGCCAGCCCCGCCGGGCGCGGCCTGGCAGCCGAGCTCCATCCCCAGCGCCAGGCCGAGCCCCCGCCCCGCGGCGCCCACCGGGAGGCGCAGAACGCCGGATAACGGCGCGCACGGGGCTGTGCCGGAGAAACGCTGCTTCCAGAGGTTTCCCTGAACGCGCCTCTAGGAAAATCCCTTCGCGGGAACGAGAGCTGCTCCCACGCTCCTTTCCTAAATTTGGTTTGGTTGTTGTTTTTTTTCCAAAAAATCTGCTGTTAAAAAAAAAAAGTCCAAACAGCATTAATTGTCACACTCCATGAGCATGTTTACAGCCAAGTGTTACCGACACTTGCATTCCGAGCAGCATCGAAACGCCACCAGTGACAGACCTGGAAATCCCCCAAGTACAGGAATAGCTCCTGATAAGGTGCTGGGTTTTCACTTGCACTTGAAATTAGCAGCGTGATCTTGTAATGGTTTAGCTGTCTCTGCTTTTATTCAGAGTTTGAAAACGTAATTGGAATATGCTTTAAAGTTGTTTCCAATTTCTTTTTTTAAGGCGGGAAAAGGGGGAAAAATACTGAAAATATTCCAATAACCAATAAATGAGCCATAACCTTTGTCAAAAAACAGAAATCTGCTTTTTCCCTGTGAAGTTTGTTCCTGTTACATCAATGCTTTCATGGACAACTTTTAATTCTTCTGAATAAGGGAAAAATTGCTGTGATTCTGTTAAAATCTGTGGTGACTTTTGAAGTGTCATTTCTCCAACAAGATCCTACCTGACACCTCACAAAAGCATCTATCACAGGTATGAGTGCCCTTACACAGGGAACACAGAAGTACAGATTTCTGCAGCAGGGCTGCATGAAAGCTAGGTAACCAAGACTTTGATGTAGATTGGCTGCACATTTAGTAAACCACAGTACAAACCTAAGTATAGCTATGTTTTTACAGACTGTGAGGTTACAGAGTTTTTGGGAACAAGCTGCGTTGAAGCACACAAGCCCATGCTTGTTATTCCTGCCAAAAACTTGGGTGTTCGCCAGGTTCCTTTCTGGTATCAATCTCATCAGATATCTAAGCAAACCCAAATGTGATTCTATGTAATCACATACATCAGGACTAGAAAAGTTGGGGAGTTAGAAACAGTGCTTAATTTGTTGATGGTACAAAGACACCCCTCTGATGTGGAGCTTCTGTGTGCTCCAGCATGGCTGGTGCAACTTTGACAGCAGCAATTAGTTACAACCAGAGCCAAATAGGCTGGGTAAACTTTGCATGTAGCAGTTCAAATAGATCTTGAATCCTTCCTGATAAAGGGGTAAAATACGTGTTTAGTAGGTTGTGTGGATCAATAGGGCACTGTGCTAGCTACAGTATAGATGGAAAGGAATTTTTGTGCTGGTTTTTCTGTATTGTCCAAATAGATATGGCAGTTCTTTTTGAAGGATGTAACTGGAAATTGCTGCCCAAAGTCAATTTCATTTATGTGTAGTAATATTTCACCTTCAATTTGAAGTAGTTGATTTTGTTCACAGTTCTGCTGAGAATTTTCAATACCTGGAGCTATTTGTCTTTTGAAAGAAATAAATATATATTAACACCACTATCTCATTTCCATTTTGTCTGTGACATTTTGAGCTACTGTCCCCTCATAGGAAGCCCTGTAAAAGTCCTTCATATTTTAAGTTAGACTTTTTAGTCTACATGCTTTTAACTTATTCATGGATGGAAAAAAAGGAAACAGTGTTCTGTTCCATCTGGGGCCTTTCTTCCCAGAGTTTATCTTGCTCTGGAGCTGAGCAATCTCATTAGGGTTAATTTGATGCAAGCTGAAGTGGCTTGCTGGCTTGCAGGCTCAGCACACTAGGTAGTGCATGAATGAACTGCTGACAAAGTTAGAGTAGAACATTAAGAATGAGAATAAAAGATTAAATCTCACTTCCTTCCAGCACAACTTCTAATACTTGAGTGTGTTCGTTAGGCTAAATCATGTCAAATTTGGTAAATTGTTTCATTGAAGGTGAGCAATAAAAAACCATTAGGCTGTTTTATGTAAGATAGTGATTTAAACTATATCTAATACTGCTCAAGGACTGGTTATGGTAAAACTTGAACTTGGTGGCTTGAAGATGACACAGTGCATTGAGTTGATACTTCTGTGGGAGTGAGATCTTGCTCCTAAGTCACAACTTTCATCTCAGAGTCGACCTGCCTGTATTTGAAGCCAGGGTTCTATTTTTTCCTATGTACATAATTTATATGATTTTTATCTGAGGTTTTTCTGACCTCATTTCTAATGCCTTCCCTCATCCTTGCTACTCTGAATACTTTTATGCATTGGCAAACTATCACATCTCGTTGCTCCTTTCCAGATAGTTGCTGAACAAAAAAAGTCAGTATATAAATAACTAAAGAACTCCACTGGTGAATTCCCTTCCCACCGTCCCTTACAATCTTTTTGCCAATTTTTCATCCATACAAGGGCATTCTTTTGTACCCTTCTGATTTTGAAATTACAATCCCAGCATAACAAGTTATGCAGAGGCAGAAAGATCAAAATCTGCCAAACTGGTCATGCCCACAAACATCTACCTGCTGATTATTGTCCACACTGATTTCTGAAACTTTCAATTTCTCCAAAAAATCAAGAAACATCAAATATTTGATTTATCTAGTGAAGTAGCAGGTGCTGACATATTATACAAAACCTAGGAGATGATAGGAGTTTCAATTCATCTAAGCCTTGAACATTGTAGAAGTTTTGATTACTCATTGAATCCACAGGAACTTGGGTTTAATGGCTTGTGAAGCTCTTCATAATTAAAGACTAGTAAATAATTTACTAAAAGCAAGTAAGATGTCATTAACATTCTATACCATTAACGTTCTATGCCATATGTAACAGGCACGTCTGTACTTACTGGTGTACAAGCACGTTGTACTTGTGCTGTTATTGGTGGCCCTGGGACCTGGCTCTGTGTGGTGTTTTTCTCTTTTGATAGCTCTTTCAGACTAGATTAAATATGTGAGGGAGGTTGCAGTTTTTAGTTGACCCAGCACAGGTTGCCAAATTAATGTGTAAACAGACCTATTATGTAGTAACTGGAGTTAGTAAATGAACCAAGACTTCACCAGTTTTGTCCCTTCTAATCACTCTGTCAGTAACTGTGGTTTCAGTGAATCTGAAAATCATTTTGTTGCAGGAATGCTAATACATTTAATTGTTCAAAACTGATAGTCACTGTAATATTTTGTTTCACTCAAGGGTGTCTTTGGTTCACTTTTCAAACCATTTAACAAAACTTGAAACCTTTAGGGAGCTATAGTGGGGAAAAACATATGAGATGTTATCTCAAATTCCTTTTTAATTTTATGTCTTTCCTTCATGTTGAAGTGTTACATTTAGTGTAAATTTCTCAAATACTCATCAGTATCCTGGTTATGGTCAGCCTTCCTGTCTCAGAACTGGAAGATTTAAGTTCTAGACCAGAGTGTCTTTCATTAGATTTAGAAACTAATCTGAATTCAGTATAATAACTTCAACCTTAAATCTTCAACTATTCAAGTGTATGCAAACAGCTGCCTGGACTGTAATGTAAGCTGGGACCTTAGGACAGACAAAGGAAGTGCAGGTGATAAATGTTCCTGTTTGCTTTTCTAGTCAATTTGCAAATCCAGTCAAAAATGTAAGGGGTTAATTCAAAACCGATTTTTTACATTTAATTTTTCTAGATTGTTTAATTTTATTTTTAAAGATAATGGCCAAATGAGTCCAAAAGTTGCTAATGGCTACTGAATGATCAACTATTCACTGGAAAGCTTGCCCAGATATGTTTTGTGCTTAACAACTGAGATTTTATTTAATTTTTATCTCATTACACTTGCAAGAAATCTTGTGTTAGGCTTTATAATAAGGGGAAAAAAAGGTCTGTTTTGATATGGAATGTTATAAATTTACCTCATTCACTCTTCTGAACAATTATTTTACAGCTAGGAGGTCTGCAACTCAATAACACAGAACAACTAGCAGGAATTGACTTGAAGCTAACAAATGCCCTGAAAAGAGTAGGATAACTAAAGCATTATTTTAGCAATTGGAAATGTGAAGGACAAGGAAAAGCTGATGACAAGGAAAGCTCAGGAAGAAATCTGAAGATCAGGCACCAGAAGAGTTTCTATTAATAAGATGTGTTGGAGCTTGAAAGAGAACTGGAGAAATATGAACTGCTTCAGGGATAATAGGAGTAAGAGACAGAGGAAATGGAGCCAACATTTCTAGCCAGAGGCTATCAAAGAAGGAGCAGAGCAAAATAGTGGAGTTTTCAGTCACACAGAAGCAAGGGGTACAAAAATCATTGCAGCAGTAATTAATATTTTTGTAACTAATGACCTTAGCTTTCCAAGTCTTCAGATACTATTATTATTATTATTATTATTATTATTATTATTATTATTATTATTATTATTATTATTGTTATTGTTATTGTTATTATTATTATTGACATTTTGTAAAAACACAGCAGCCAGGGTATTAATAAAACATTTCAGATATACTCTTTCATTACAGTAAAGGTTATGTAAAAGTATTTATATTGTTTATTTACTGAGAACATGCAAAACTGAGTTCCTTATTTCTGGATAATGGTTATGACCTCTAGCTAATATAGTAATCAGTACTGCGAACATTAAGATTCAAGAGTGATTTTCTGTTCACAAATACTTTTCATAGACAGACAGGCATAAATTCTTGTTAGCATACATGGACAATTATCAAAACAATATTGTTTAGCAAAG